TAAGAAAGCTTAAGTTATAGTAGATGGTCTACTTGGCAGTAAATACAACAGAGTAAGGACGTCCCATTCCAGGTGGACGAGCCACACTAAATATTTATTATTTGCACTGCTGCAGCACATAAAGGCCTCAAACACAATCGTAAAATATTTACAGCTTCTAATAATGGAAAAGAATAATAAATCAGTAAGGTTTGTATAAAGTGTCTGACTTAGCCCTTATTGCAGGTTGCAAATCAACCCGACGCGTGCATCCTGCAAAACCCTGCAATGCAAACAGCTAAGCAATCAGGGAGAAACACAAAAGCCTTCAGCGGCCAGGAAAGTTCTAGTTATTCTCAATGAACAGGATCTGGATCGGTTTCTTGTGGCCTCTCAACCTAAGCCATTCTGCTTATTTTAGAAAGGGCAGCCCCTTGGAGGTCAAGTTTTCACTATGTCATTAAACCAACTAAACAGCTAAACAGATTCCAGCAACCCAGCCGGGTCAGAAGGAGAGGAAGGATCATGAAATCCAATCAGCAACCCGTATCCAAGTTGTTCTCAGTTACACGCTTTCTTTTCAGGTTTTTTTTCCCTCCCTCTCTTTCTCAGGGTTTTCAACTGTCTTATCTTACAGTTATCTTTCAAGTTTATTTGTACTTTAATTATTAAATGGTCCTGACGTTCCAAATTGCCCAACGTTCTCATCTAAACGGTTTACCAGGTCACAGGGCAAGTCATCCTAAAATAATGATCAAGTCATCAGAGAGATTAAGCTTCTACCTTTTTAAACTGCTACGTATAAACATAATTCCCCCGGCCAAACAGGTTGGCCGCCCTTCCACTAACAGTTTAAAGACTATGTTTATAAACAATGATCCATTAAAAAGAAATATCCTTCCTCTCCCCCCCTCGCACATCACACGCCCGATTTCACCTACAATGCCTTCGCAGTTTTCACAAGTTGGGTGTTGGTTTGTTGGGGTTTTTTTTAAAGTAAAAAGAGCGTGAAGTCCTGGACGCCGCCATGCACTACTAGTTTCTCACCTGCTCCAAAGCAACCTCTACAAAAGCCAGCTCTGAGGTCCGAGACCTACAGATCGGCTGGTGCCATCGGCACGGACAGCGAGGCCTAAGGACGGCGACACACCAAACCACAAACGAGCCCTGGGAGGGGGGGAAGGGGCTCCCCCGCTCCCCACCTCCACCGCTCAGCCCTCATAGAGCCCGAGGCACACAGCGAGCCCCCCGCCAGCCCCTCCGGGGCCCAGCCCAGCCCCCAAGCCCTGCCCCCAGCCCAACCGGGCGGTACCTTGGGGGGTCGGATCTTGCAGATGCCGGTTTTCTCGGCCAGGCCGCGGATTCGGCCGATGAAACCGAGCGGGTCGCTGAACTCTTCCCAGCTGGGCTCGAACACGGGGCACTCCGGCGGGGGGACAAACTCGGCCGCATAACGCAACCCACCGCCCCCCGACATGGCCGCAGGGGGAGGGCGACGACGGCGGCGGGGAGGAAAGGGGGGGAGCCCTCAGGGGCGGCCGGTGGGGCAAGGCCGGCGGCCGAGGCGCATCCTCCGGCGGCGGCTGGCGGTCAGAAGGGGCGCTGGATAGAGGTCGGAGGATCCGTACGGAGCGGCGGGGGCGGCCGCTAAGCGAGTGTTGTTGTCCCGTTAGCCCCGGGGCTACCTCCCCCCCTCAAACCGCCGAGCCCCTCTCGCTCGCCTTCCAGCTCGCCGGAAGTTACGCGTCTACCTCAGCGCCCTCCCCCCGGAAGTCACACCACGAACGCTGTTGCCTTCCGACCCAAAAAAGTAGTCCCTCCTCGCCGCTCAATTCCCATCAAGCGGCTCCCTAGCGGCGAGGAAACATCCCGCCCGCCCCCTCCGAGCTCCACCGTGCACAGCCGCCGGTGGACCCTCAAAGCTACGTTAGATGGGGGATAAGGAGTCGAGGAGGGGCGGGGCCGCCGCCGCTTCCGGCGCGGAGGAATGTGCGGCGAAACTCGAGCCATCCGCTTCCGGTGCTGGGGAAAGGGGCCGTTTCGCCCATTGTCTGAAGCGCCCTGAGGTAACTCCAGGCCACGCCCCCTTTTCCCCGTAGGCCACGCCCCTCTCCCTCAGGCCACGCCCCGCGACGGCCGTCGCGGGGCGGGGCCTGAGGGAGAGGGGCGTGGCCTACGGGGAAAAGGGGGCGTGGCCTGGAGTTACCTCAGGGCCAAAATGGCGGTTCCTCACAAAGCTGAGACCCCTTTCGTGCCTCTTTTTACCTCATTACGACGTAAATCTTTTAAAAAATAAATAATTCCACAGTTTGGTTGTTTTTTTTCTTTTGCTTTGTTTTTTGTTTTTTTTTTAACCAGCAGCCTGCCTTCGGTGTCCTCACTTTCCCCTCTTTATTTCCAAGGCGCCATGGCAATAACAGGAAAAGTTAATTTCCCTTCGTTTTTTTAAAGCATTTCAAGACCCACTTCAGAGCGATTTTTGTCCTCATTGCTTCCCTGCCGGGTCGAAGAGGTGTCGCCCCTGAGTGGCGTCTCGAGACACAAACGGCTCCGACAACGAAGGGTTAATTTTGACAGAAGTTCTTCGTAAGGAGCAAACTGATATTATAAAACGTCGAGTTTACCAGTGGTTATTAGCTTGTTGCAGTGTCTTCTTATCGTTTTTCCAGGGGTTCCCAGCGTAGAAGCCTGATACCTTTATGACTGTGAAAGTATGTAGAGTGCAAATTTCTGTGCACTCCTGCCATTTTTAATTTTTCTTTTATTATTTCATAGAATCATAGAATGGTTTGGGTTGGAAGGGACCTTAGAGATCATCAAGTTCCAACCCCCCTGCCATGGGCAGGGACACCTCCCACTAGAGCAGGTTCCTCAAAGCCCCATCCAGCCTGGCCTTCAATTAATTAATAATTTGGTTGTGTCTCTCTTCCGATAAGGTTTACCAGGTTCTCCTAAGGAAATGTATATGTATGTAACCTATAGGTGTATGTGCGTGCTATGTTTTGAAGGACCCACAAAAATTTATTGTCATTTAGACAATTATTCTCTGTGGTAGATTAGGCCGAATTGGCCAAAACCACAATCACAGATGGCCCTTCCCTCTCCACCCAAAAGAGAGGAGGAGATAAGGAGATTTATGAGTTTAGAAAAAAACAAACTACTTTAATGAAATATTAATATTAAAGTAAAAAAAAAAGGGAAATAATAAGATGGATACAATAGATACAATATATATAGAACTGTATGAAGCTGCCAGGATGAGGTCACGGGCAGGCACTGGGAAAGTTCCAGGCTGGACTCAGCGATGGATGGGAACTGGATTCCAGCTCTGGAGTCAAGAACACACACGGATTGGGATCAAAGGCAGATGAACAGACAAGAGTCCTCTTCGGACATCGAAGAAAGAGCGCTGACCCTTTGATCCCTCAGCTTTTATACTGAGCATGGGGCAGATGGGATGGAATACTCCTCTTGGTCAGGTTTGGGTCACCTCTCCTGTCCACTCCTCCTCACAGTTGGGACCCCTCTACACTTTTTCCATTTCTGACTCTCCAACGGGGCAAATAACAAAATTGGGTGACTTTGGTTGTTACAGCAATAAGTAGAAGCGAGAGCCTGTCTGCACACCGTTCTGTGGCACGAGGGACAAACGTTGGTCTTATCACTCCGAGAACGAGCAGCCTTCTCCACAATTTAATTTCAGAGAGTTAGAAGAGGCCTAGCTCTGATGTAAAATTACTGAACAGAACGTTGGTTCTCTTTTACCTCCCACCAGGACATTCTCGCACCCAGTGACCCTTCCTGACCCAGGAAGGGGAATCAGGGGGGAAAAAAAACAAGGAAACTCGAGGGTTGAAATATAAACGGATTTAATAGAAGAAGACTAGATAGCGGATCGATATACTGTATAGAGATACCAGGTGTAGAATCAGTATTGATCCCAATACCAATATAAAATATATCTATATATGCATTATATATACTCTGCCCGTTCTATCAGCAGAAAGCCATGCACTCCTGGCCGGGGACAGCAAACGTGGGACACCGCAAGCACTGCGGCTTCAGGAGGAAGGGGAGAAAGGGCTCAGGGGTCCATCACGACAGCAAGAAGTTCTCTGGACCACCACCATCACAGAAGAGAAAGAATTCCTCAGCAAACTTTCTAATTTTTACCGAATGTGACGTTCTTGGTATGAAATAACCGTGTTGGCCAGCTTGGGTTGAGTGTCTCATCCCCGCACCTGGTAAACTGGAGACCTTGAAACACTAGCTAGCTCCAAAACAGTGAAACCCTGAAGCCCCCATGCCATAGCTGGGCTATAAAGTAAATATTTTCACGAATTCAGACACCAGGGCCTTCTAAAAATGCCATTTTTCCAAGCGTGAGTGGAGACCTTACTGAAAAGTAAAATTACTGAAGGAGGAATTAGTCCCGTGTCCCTCAAACCAGGAGAGCGTGTTCTGGGACCACCAGCGCACACCCCACTTCCAAGAGCAGCAGTGATTTAGGCAGGACTCCATGCCGGAAAGTACTTAATCCATGCAAAAGCTGCGTTTTGAAAACCAGCTTTTTACTCATCTACCCACCGATTTTCTTTGCTTTATTGAGAAAACTGGTTAAAAAACAACCAAAAAAGGGATGTTTGGGTAAGTTTTTTGCACCGCTGCTGATGTAAACAGACCCCACTATGGGTTGAATTTATCCTGCCCGGATCCCGAAGCGCTGCTAACACAAAAACAGGATTTTCTAACTCCAAACCCCGCGTTTCTCCCCAAATTAACCCCAGTTTTCCGCACCCCCGGCGGCGCAGGCGCAGTGCTCACCCTCTCCCCCCGACTACAACTCCCAGAGGCCCAAGCGGCGGCGCCCCGTGCCGCCCGTGTCGCGAGCGCTGATTGGCCGAGACGGCCGGCGCTGCGTGGAAGGCGGCGTGTGATTGGAGGAGCTGGCGGGCGGCGTGGTGGCTGGCCGTTTAAGTTGCGGTGGGTCGGTCGCGGCGGTTATTTTGCCGTTGGGGGCTCCCTCAGAGGAGAGGCACCTGAGATGGCGGCGGTGTGCGAGTGGCGCTGATCCTCTCCCGTCTCGTTTCGTGAGGGCATTTCTCGCCCTGTGATAGCCGTTCCCGGTGGGGCCTAACCCCTGTCTCTGCCGGGCGCCTTCGCCTTACCCGGGGCCCCCGGCTGAACCCCGCTTGGAAGCTTCTGTCCCCTGCCCGCGGGGAGCCCGGCCCTTCGGCAGGGGAGCCATGAGCGCCACGGACCGCTCTGCGGGGACCCCCGCTCGCTCCAGAAGGTAGTGTGGGGGCTTCCTCCCCCGGTCACCCCCATGCCCAAACCGCTCTGCGGGCTCTGGCACCTTTCTGCCCGGTCTCCAGGCGTTAAGGCACCTCTTAGTTCACTCTTTTACCTGCTGTGCTGCCTTATACTTACTCCTTAACATTTCTTACTGTCCTTTAGTTCAGTAATAAAGTATTCCCCGTGTGCCTATGTTACCTGTTTTCTTCTGTTGTTTAAGGCATTTCTGGTGAGAAAGTTTCTGCGTGAAATGATCCTATTATTGCATAATATTTAATATTTTCCTACAGTGCCAGGAGTTAAAGAGCTTGGCGTGTTTTCATGGATGTAGCCCGCTGAGGCTCTGTCTAAGCAGCTTTGGTGAGCTGCCCATAAAGGTCACTGCTGTCTCAGTATCACCTGCCAGGTCACTTTATGATCAAAGTTCTGGCGCTGGCTCCAGAATCAGCTTCTGGACTGTGTTTTTGTTAAGCAGGTCTTTAACAGAGAGGCTTCTTAGCTTTCATTCTGTTACTCGTGGTATCATTAAAAAAAAAAGTGTCAAATGAATATAAATAACAAAAAGAATGCTTTCCAAGAGAATCTTGGACTCTGTGTGCAGCTCTGTTTGCAAGTTTGGCGCTTACGTGAGCGGAGTAAATGTTTGATTGTAGTAAACATTGCTTAAAATAAAAATCCGATATGTAATTACACATATGTGTTCTTGATTTATGTAATATTGACATGCTTTCCTCTAGTACTTCAACATAAGATTCAAGAACTTGGAAGCTTCTATTTCACTATCAAGGGTGGACAAGCTGTGTGGTTAAGAACATCAAGTGCACAAAAAAGGAAAGCATCTAGATTCCTAGACCTACACCTTAAATTTTAGTGGCTGGTGCATTAGTTCATCTGAATTATTGGCTTTATTCAACAGTCCTTCTTTAGAAAGTGGTTTTCTCTCTGGATATCAGCTAGTGATTCTGTCAGAGATTGTCTTCCTGTTTATCTTGCAGTAGCTGCTCCTTCTAATTGCACAACAATGGACTTTTTGTCCCCTTTGTTCTCTCCTTCTTTTCTTTCCTTCTCTTCCTTTTGCATTCACTCTCCCCGAGTAATTTCTGAGACATTTTTCTTTCTCCCTTTTCCATCAGTTAGCTCCATCTCCACAGTATAGTAACCCTGCAAGCTGTTTTATATCAAAGCTTTTGGTTCTCTTAAATGCTGTGATCTCCTGTTAATACCTGGAGCATAGGAAAGCGAAGTGATGCTTAAAATTGAATCTGTGTTAAAATTGAAAATCTATTTTTAACTAGGTTTTTTTACTTTATTGTCTGAAGCTTGCATGTCATTAGAAACTGTTTCTGTCCAGGCTGGCAACCCCCCATGTCTCCTCCAGATATGCTAGTTCTCAGCCTCCAAATCAGGAGGACTTTACTCCTCTCCCTTCAATCAATGAGCGTTTGGCCCTTCTCCGTCCTTCCCGGGAGCTGCTGGAATACTACCGTAAGAAGATTGCTGACTTTGATGAGGAATATGAAGATTTGGTAAAAAGGCTGGAGAGATACAAAGAAACGTATGATGAGCAGGTTAGGAAAATTTTTGAATTACGATCCTTACACAAACTTAATGTTTTTCTTCAGTTGAAGACTCAGGACAGATGATGGTCTAAAGTTTTGCCAGTAATGTGGTAGAACTCAGCCTAAAAGGAAATAAGTAGATATCAGGGTTTGATTGTAAAATCTAGCTGTTCTCTGTCAAGGCAAAGACAAAAGTGCCTGGAGGATATTCTTCTATTCTTATTATAGTTTGATTATATCTTCACAGTGGGTTGTTTGTTTCTGGTTTTTGTTTTTTTTTTAAATTAAAGCCTGAGATGTTCAGTTCTAACGTCCAACTTGGTTCCCTTGTTTCTCATAGTGAAGAATGAGTGCCCTTTTGTCTAAATTTAATGAGCTTTGAGATACAGATATAATTTGTATTTGCTGCAATGGAATTCATAAGCTTGGCCATGGGCTATTAAGCACTAGTACTACACAGCCAATAAATGTGAATTTAAGAGAAACTGCAAAACCTAAAAATCTTTGCCTTTTAGGAGAAAGAAATCTTACAGAATGTCTGTAAGTTCAGTGCTCTGATATGCCTTGCAGCACACATCTGTCTAGCAGTCATCTCTATAGTAGTGAATGACCCTGGGGGAATAGAACGATCACTTCTGAAGTGGTTGAGGTGCCTCCTAAAGTACTGGCCACGCTTGAAGCAGCCTGAAAGCTCTCAGGAAATATGTGGTGTACAAGTTACTGTCATTCAACATATGAGGACAAAGAGGAGCAGATTCCAAAATACTGCCTTCTCTGCTATGGCAATGGTAGAAGAATACCATACAGGAATTTTAATGTTTATTCTTGTAATTTCTTTCAAGAGTCAGTACTATGCAGAGGCTTTGCTAGGTGTTTGTTGATGTCAGACTCCCCATATCTGTGCCACTCTGACTGCCAGTGCAGAAGTGCAACCACTGGAAACTGAAGACCCTAGCTTAGGCCTTATTTGACAGTTGTATAGTGACAATGATTCTCGGGGCTCCGAACTCCCTGTTGAAACATTTTTAAATAATTTTTGCAATACTGCCCTCATCTGGTCAAATTTTGTAAGTGATTAAAATAATTACAGCTAGTTACAAGCTCAGGGCTCAAGCAGTTTGAAGTTTGTAAGTGTTGCCCAATGCTCTGTATCATCTCCAGTGCCTCATTCTTTCCACCTAGCACAAATTGCAGCAGGAGGTGCATCAGCGGGAAGAGGAGATTGCGGAGTTGCAAAAGGCTTTGAGTGATATGCAAGTCTACCTCTTCCAGGAGAGGGAACATGTCCTTCGTCTTTACTCGGAGAATGACCGGCTGAAAATCAGGTGTGCTGTCTCAAATGGTAGGCTGGGTCACAGGCAGTAGCAATTGCCTGCATTATGTTCTAAGTTCTCATCCAGATCTGGAGTCTTCAGAGAAGCAATTAAGCCACACTTCCTTGGGGGAGGGCTCCGATGAAATCATAACAATCTTGGAGGTGGAATGCAATCTGTTGGCTGCTAAATATGTTTTCACTTAATATTATCCCTCCTATTCTGGTAGTAGAAGGAAGAGCAGAAGTTGAACATAGATTCAGATTGAGTTGCCAGTTGGAATGCAGAGGTTCTGATTTAAGCAGACTGTGATGGGCTGACCTTGACCGGATGCCAAGTGCCTGCCAAGGTGCTTTATCACTCCCCCTCCTCAACTGGACAGGAGAGAAAAATATGATGAAAGTCTCATGGGTTGAGATAAAGACAGGGAGATCGCTCAGCAAAAATCAAATCAAAGTAGGATAATGAGAAATTAAAACAAATCATAAAACACCCTCCCCCCACCCCTCCCTTATTCCCAGGCTCAACTTCGCTCCCAGTTTCTCTGCCTTCTTCCCCTGAGTGGTACCAGGGGGATGAGGAATGGGGGTTGAGGTGAGTTCATCACATGTTGCTTCTGCGGCTCCTTCCTCCTCTCTCTCTTCCCCTGCTCCAGCATGGGGTCCCAGCCGTGGGTGACAATCCTCCATGAACTTCTCTGATGTGAGTCTTTCCCACAGGCTGCAGTTCTTCATGAACTGCTTCAGCGTGGGTGCTTTCCAGGAACAGATTGCTCTAGCATGTATCCCTCCAGGGTCACAGGTCCTGCCCATAAGCCTGCTCCAGTGTTAGCTGCTCTCTCCATGGGTCCACATGTCCTTCTAGGAGCCTGCTCCAGTGCAGACTCTCCATGGGGCCAAGGAGAGTCTCCAGTGCAGACTCTCCTTTGGGTGCATCCACCTCCTCCAGTGTGGGGTCCTCCAAGGGCTGCAGATGGATATCTGCCCCAACATGGCCTTCCATGGGCTGCAAGGGGTCAGCCTGCCTCACCATGGTCTTCACCACAGGCTGCAGGGGAATCTCTGCTTTGGCCCCTGGAGCACCTCCTCCCCCTCCTTCACGGACCTTGGTGTCTGCAAGGCTGTTTCATGTGTTCTCACTTTTCTCTCTTCCAGCTGCTGCTGTGACACAGGTTTTGCCCCTTCTTAAATATGTTATCACAGAGGCTCTAGTACTGTCACTGATTGGCGTGGCCTTGGCTGGAGGCATGTCAGTCTTGGAGTTGGCTTGCATTGACTTTTTTGGATGTGGGGGAAGCTTCTGGCATCTTCTTACAGAAGCCAACCTCTGTAGCCCACGCGCTACCAAAACCTTGCCACACAAACTCATTGCACAGACCTTGCACCTGCCTGGCAAAACTTCCTCCCTCAGCCCTAAAAACAAATTCAAATAGAAAATACAGACCTATGACAATAGTTTACCCTCACTCTGTGAGATCATGTTGACAGCTACTCCTGTAGCTGTTCTCCTGAACTGGAATATAACCTGCTGTACCAGACTAGTTGCCAAAGGAAAAGGAGTCCCCAACCTTCTTCAGAACATTTCTGGGGGATAATATAAATTTTCTCTTAAAGCTTTAAGAACTTAAGTCAAAATGTGTATTGGTGTGCCTTGGTGCTTTTCAAGAGTGTGTCAAAAAGTCTGATACAGCCCTTAATTTAGTTTGCTTTAAGATTAATGGACACTTAAAATCTGTTGAATAAAGTATGTCAAAGGATTTTAGGTAGTTCATGACTCTGGAATGCAGATTCTTTACTGCTATGTGCTATTGCTGGATCAGCCTCTGTAGTATTGTCATATTTGAAAAGAGAAATGCTCCCTGATGCCAGCAGAATTGGTGGGGTTCTTATTATATTGGCAACATCAATAATGTCTTTGGGAGTTAGTTTTTGAAGCAGCATTCTCAAGAACTGCAACAATTTGGGAAACTTGTAAACATTAACGAGTAAACTAGAAGGACAGTGCATCACAATGTCTTGGTTTACTTAAAAATAGCAATGTGCTGACCACTTTCTTTGAATTTCAGGGAATTGGAGGACAGAAAAAAAATTCAACATCTCCTGGCTTTAGTGGGAACAGACAAAGGAGAAGTTACATATTTTCACAAGGAGCCTCCACATAAGGCAAGTTCCGTTTTTCTGTAGAACTCTGCTTTTGATTGTAACATGAAGATCTGTAGCCCAGAGGCTGACCACAGACCAGATCTGTCCCACAAGTCAAAAGTTGCTAAATGAGCTCAAAGCAGGGAGGGATCTGTAGCAACATCAGGCTTTAGGATAGTTCCTGACAGATAAGTAGGAACAGGTGGACTGGAAGTAGGTTCTCTTAGCATCAGTCCCCGTCTGCCTTCAAAGCAATACTTCCAGATCAGGCTTCTAAATGCCAGACAGGAGTCTGAAGCCGTCTGGCAAATGGTCATTGGGAAGCTGGAGAGAACACCACAAAGATAAGAAGAAAAAAAAGTGCAGAAAATGACCAGGTAGGGTGTTTGAAGATCAGCTATCTCACAGTGCCTGTCTTGTACAGCTTCAGTAAAGACTAAAGCAATATTAAGGTTGCTGCAGCAGTTTCCTGGGCAGAAGATTGCAGAAGAGCCATTCTCTCTAGGCAATATTGTATTGCATATTTCAAAGTAATGAAAGTAATGCCAAATTGATTAAATGGCAGTTCATATGAAGCGCAGTAGTTCCATCTACTTAAGAAAGTCATGAATGATTTGGACATGCCGAGCCTACAGTGGAATATAGGATTTATCATGGAAATAAGGTGCAGAAAAAGGCTAAAATATGCTGCATTGTTTGTGGTCACTCTGCAGTGCTCAGCAGTTAAAAAATCTCGCAGAAGCTTTAAAATTCCCTGATGCAGAGTAGCCCTAAGATTAGGTCTGTTATATAGGATCAACCTGAAGATAAGCATTGGGGTTATAACCTGCTCCCTCATGGCCTCTTATTTTTAAGTGGGTTTCAGTTCAATAGTTGAGTTGTTTCAATAGTTCTATCGGTTAGTTTTTATCCCAGGCTTGTTCAGTAGTTTGAATAAATGTGCTGATAAATCAAGCTTCATGTTTCTCTGTCTTGCTAAGGCAAGTAGGAGTATGTAAGAAGGAATTAACATAATCTTCATCTTCACCTTCCCTCTTCTCCTCTCTGTTCCCAAAATGCTCCTTTTCCTACTGAGGGTGCTGATTTACATCCTAATGAAGCCAGCAAAGGCAGGATTACTTTCCAGTTGTTTTGGTGAAAAAAGATAGAGGCAGAAATGGCAAAACTCAGCCATGATAAGGAAACTTTTCAACATGGACATTACGCTTGTGAATGTCTTCCTTGTCTTGTGGTAGAAGTAAGGTAATGCTGTTCTTTTGGATATCTCATTCTTTAAGATTTGTTCTTGACCATTGCAACTTTGCTGAAGTCAGATGTTCAACTGAGATATCTAATCTTGTTTCTTTAGGTTACTGTTCTGCAAAGGCCGGCTAAATCCAGAGATCCACATGAACGAAATGATACTTCTAGAACAGGTACTACACCAGGCTGATCTAACAGTAGCTCAGATATTGATACTTGTTTCTCTGTGTTTTTTGTTGTACTGTGAATACTTTGGTATGCCTCCATTAAGTTCCTTAAATGTATCCATGCGTACGTACATACAGGTGCAGTAGTCTTGGCTTCCCTTCAGAATCTTCTAACATAACTTGAGCTGGTTCTCATGTCCATCATCTGCTCAACAAGGGAAGAGGCTGATATGACTGTGGAATGGCTGTTCTGGGACTATACAGGTACCAAGTGTACCCTTAGTCACAGCCATTCCAAGGTGTGGGGTTCTGCCTGCCTCTAGTGTAGACAGTAGCGTGGGTCTGTATGCCTACTTACTAATTTTCTCTTTTGAAAGAACTGCCTTTTCCAAATTGAAGTTGGCTAACAAGCTCAAAACTCATTCCAGGCTTGAGGCTTGTGCACCTGTGTCACCTGCCTATTCATCATTCATTTAGGAAAACTTAAGGTTGCTTTCTATATGTGCCAAAAAGATTAGTAGTTTGCCTAAATATTGTGGTGTGATAGTGTGAGATAAACTTATGCAATCACTATAAGTTCTGAAACTCTTTTCATCCAGCTAGTCCTTCTGGAAGTCCTTGTGACTGTAGCACAGGCAAGTGTGTTCCTATTCTTATAGGCCAGCCAGTGCATACAATATTTCATCCTTAGAAACGTACTGCAGGTAGTTTGGAAAACCCTTTTCTACTTCTGTTAAATTTCTGCAATAGGTGCCAAGAGAAGCACTTCAAAAACAGCAGCAAAAGGAGAGAAACCAGAAAGTCCTGAGAGATATCAGAGAGACAATCAAACACTCCTACTTCAGGTAAAAAACATTTGCTAACTGATGGACATAGTTCCTGACTGTCCAGGAAACGATGATAGAAAAATATGCTGCCTGCTTATATAAGATGTAGACATATCAATTTCATCAGTCCCTACATCTTACTATGGGTTCCCACTTTCTATCAGTTTACTTAGCTGTTCTTTGTGATGAATGTAGGCTTAGATATAAGAACTTGGGTCTGATTCTGGAAGCTTTACATAAGCAGTAATGTCAGCTGGAATGTGTTACCCTTAAATATAGAATGTGTAATTGATGTTATCTCCCATAATTTGATTGTGGCAATCAATTTACATTAAACCCACAGGAGATCTTCAGGGCTGGGTATTTTGTGGAATTCTGGTTTGCTAGACTTCAGTGAAAGATAGGGTGGAGATAGCATGACAGAATGAAAGATAAAACGTATGGCACCATGGATTGGGGACGATACCAGAAGCTGTATGGAAAGCAAGAGGAAGGATGAGTCAAGAAAACCAAATTAAAGAGCACACTTGTACAGAAGATAGATTTTTATTTTTAATTTTATTTTGATGTTTTTGGTCAAGGGCAGTGGTGACTGACCTAGTGGCCAGTTAGCTGTCTAACAACATTTATTCTGGAGTAAAAGCATCATACAAAATTGTCATAAAAATAAGCCATCTAAAAAACTCTTAAGTTTTTTCAGATAGTTTCTTACATGTAGACCAGATGCACATTTTCCAATTATTTGTTCCAATTTGTCTCCCTATGTGCCCTAGATCAAGATTCTTTGTATCCTTCTTCGCTCATTATCTTGTTTACATTTAGTGGTTCATGCTAATTAATTTCTTTTGTTCAAGATATGTGGAATTGCTGCTTTCCTAGTATTTAGGTATTTTTATATTACCATTTCATTGGAAGATAGTAGCATAGGGACAGAAGTGTATCTGCATATTCCACAGGATTTGTCATATCCTATGTGCAATTCAAATCTTTCCAATATCTTCCATCTATTTTTGCTGATTGTAATATGCCTGTCTTGCCTATAGCATGATTTCTTTTTTCTTAAAATGTTTGAAATACTTAGCATTCAAACAAAATTTTTTAGAAATTAGAAGTCTCAAAGGTATTATCGGGTAGAGCCTTTGATGTGAATCTTGGAATTTAAAAGAGACTTGCAAGGACAGGAGCAGAGATGCTGTGAGGTTTTACTCAGTAATGTCTTTATATTCCTATTCAGGTGGAGGCCCTGCAAGCTCAGATAGAAGAACAGACACGATTATCCAAGGAACAGGTTGAGGCACTACTAGAGGACAGGCGGATTCACATGGAGGAAGCCCAGGTCCAGCATCAGAGGGACCAGGCCAAGATCAAAACTATAACAGATAAGTGAGTGGGAGAGAGTGACCATGATGTAGTCATGAGATGAGAAGAGAGGGGAACAATAGAAATAGTTTGGCTTTCAGTATGTCGCTTTCTGCGGCAGGCAGAAAAGCAAATTATGCAGCCATCTGTTTGGTTGTGTGTGTGGAAGGAGATGAATGGAGTAATCTACATATTAAAAATCCTATTTCACATTGGAAGAACATGACTTCTTTGATTAGATGAGAGGAGCTAAACTCATTAGGAAAGCACCTGTCTCTCACTTCAATGCTTCTTTCAACTTGCAATGATGACTGAGGAAATTAAGGGAGGAACAAGGAGAGAAGTTAATTGACTCCACTGGGATCCCTTTTTACAGACTCCATAAGACCCAAAATCTCTTATATGAGAGTACCCGTGACTTTCTCCAGCTCAAGTTTGATGCCCGAGCCAATGAGAAAGCATGGATGGCAGAGAAGGACAGTCTGTTGAGGAAACTTGACAAAGATTCGGATCAGCTTATTATCAGCAAGGAACCAGGAAGAGAGAAGAAGCAGAGAGATACCAAGAAGAAGCTTCAAGCAGATAATGGGGCTTGGAAACTCCACAGCAGAGAAATAAAGGTAATCTTTTGTCCTAGGTAGAGGCTGTTTAACAGCTGTTGATGAGAAAATCGCAAGCATCTGGGTATTGCCAAGATAGGCAGTAGCTTGCAGCTGTTTCAAAGCTGTAGTGGCTTGCCATAAGTTATGTTGTTGTTGGCAATAATGTAAAAAAAGCCAAACAAAAAACCACCCTTCCTGCCTCAAAATCAGCATTGCTTGCAAATTTCAGGTGAAACGTATTGTTAGGATTTACAGTAGCACTTTACTGTCAGGTTCTTTTATGCCCAGAACAAATCCCTACTTCTGCAAGCCACGTGATATATGGGCCAACAGTTCTTAACCTGCTTGTTGCACGTGCCTTTCTTGCAGTGTAAGTGCTCTCAGCTAATGGGCTTAGAATGCAGTGCCTGTATCCTCTTGCTGCTGTCAGGAGAGAATAAGTCCTTTCAGTTGATGTCCCCCAGCTCTTTTACAGTAGTCAGGATTTTTCTTCTAGTATACTTCCAGTGAGAAGTTGGGAGATCTGAAGTAGGTAAGCAGGCAAAAAGGAATTGGAAAGCAAACAGGCAATAGGGAATTGTTTTTTTTTTTTGTCTACTGCTGAATGCAGATGCTTCTGAAATACAGTACTGGGCAAGCAGCTATGAAAAGGGGAATTGCAGCATTAGTTGAATATTATTTTTAAGGGGAAGGGGAGAGGGTTCTTCAACTGATGATGAGCAGTCATGCAGAACTGACAACCTAATGGAGAGGTTTTGATAATGGAAGTGGTCTTAGAATATTGTCCTTACCTAATTACTTCTTTAGCTCCAGCTCCAGCTGTTAATTTTTATTTGCCTGTCATTTTGTCAGTCTAACACACTTGCTTTTCCAGAGCAGGGCAAATTTTGTGAGCTCTGGCTTTTGAGTTGATTCTTTCTGTTCCTCCCGTGTCCTAGTCACTGCAAGAACAGCTAATGCAGGAACAACGCCTATCAAACATGTATAGAGAGCAGTGTGTCACCCTGGAAGATGAGCTGGCTAGGATTCGTGAGGAGGGAGATGTTGGCAGAGAACTCTTTAAGGTAATTAGTCTGTCATCATCTCCTAGCTATGTGATGATCTTGCAGCCTTTACTTTGAATGCCCTATTGAGTTTTCATCTCCATAGGAACGCTCAGAAAAGATGGGGAAGCGCCTCAAGCTGGTGACTCAGCGATATGAGGCCTTGGAAAAACGTCGTAATATGGAAGTGGAAGGCTTCAAGAATGACATTAAGCAGCTTCGGCAGAAGCTGAGAGATGTAGAGGACCAGCTTTTTAAGGTAATAGCTAAGCATTTCTGAGACAGACTGTTATGGGTGTATTACTCTATAGGGTATTACCCTATAGAGATGTATAGTCAGTATTTAAATGCAATATTTCCCTAGAGTTTAGGAAACAATTTTTTTCCTGACTGCTCCTTTAGATATTAATATTTTACAAAACTTCCCCTCTTAACGTATTTTATAAAGCAAACAAGGTTTATCTTTGTTAATCACTCGGGCATCAAGCTTGCCAAGAACTGTCTTGATTGTACATTAGCTGTAAATTTTTGTTGCAACTCTGAAAAGTTCTTATCTGGTGCCTGCAGCCCACTTAGCTGTCTTAAAATTGCAAGGTAGGAAAGTAGTTTGTTTTAGAAGTATATCCTGCAAGGAAAATGATGATTGGTTTTCTTTCTGAGGGCCATACTGTTTGGTTTTGTTCCGGTACGAGGTAGATCATTGACTACTAGATACTGTGAATATTCTATTTATTCCTTTGTTAATATCTTATTTGTAACTCTTCAAAAATCAGTGCGGAAACAATGGCTGGAAGCTGAAGCTGTATACTGTGTAGTAGCTTCCAGATGTGTAGATTAACATCAGAACAGCTTAGAAGGGAAGCACAGCCCTGTTGCTGCTTGGAGTTTAGGATGAGGTATTTATCTAAGATATGTTTGAGAGGATGATCTAGGCACAGCTTTTGTCCAACTGACTCTCCAAGGAGTCTAGCAGTGCCACCAAATCACTTGTTTTCTGTAGTTTTAGCACACAGTTCAGTTTACTTAGACTAACACTGAAGACCTTGATTATTTTTTTTTTTTTGGGGGGTGGGCAGTGGGCTTCTAAAGTTTACTCTTTAAGGACTAAACAGCGTATGTGGAAGGGGGGAAAACTTTCCATTATACCTTTACTACAGACCTGTCTGTTTTATAACTGTGAGTGTGCTCTTCATTGTATTCTGAATTTCTTCATCACTTTCAACCACAAGAGGGCAGAGGAACAAAATACTTGCTACGAGTCTGCAGGGTGATATTTAAATCCTTCTTATCACTTGAGGTCAAACTGACTACAGATAACTAAATTTCCTAATTTGCATATTAAAATCTTTGACCAAGAACTACACGATGACAATGAGACACCCTAAAGGGTTGAGAGAAGAGGGGGCTTTGAGAGCAGCTTCCAGGGCTGTGCTGTTCTGCTGTTTAAAGTGACTGGGTTGGGATACTATCCAGTTCCAGGGTGACAGGACATGGCAGCTGTGGCTAACTTGCCATCGGCAATTCTGATTATCCAGTGGCCTTTGTTCAGCTCAGTATGGGCCATATGGCACGGCCTGAGACCAGGTGTTGTACTTGAACTGCTCTTGAATTGTATGCAGTTTGGAAGGCAGCAGGTTGGCCACAGCAGTTAAACCACCTCTAGTTCTGTCCAGCACCAGAAGGTGACAAAATGTCATCGTATCAAGTGAGGTACTTAGAACTAGATAAAAGTTAGTTGATAAATATTTTAACTTGTCTCTTTTTGTGGGTCTCTATGTAATACAGGAACTAGAAAGGAGTCAACAGGTTATGAGTAAATGTGATTATATTCTATCCAGATTCCTTCCTCACCAGTAATGTAACACCATAAAGTATGAAAGCTTTGTTCTTTCATGTTGGTTCTGGAGCACCTTTCTATTGGTGATACACATTAGGCTAGTGATACTAGCTTAAGCCTCCTCTTGGCTAGCAACAAAGGGTCTCCTTTAGAGGTGTCTCATATTCTCATCATAATACTCTTAAATTGTATTCTGTATAGCTTTGGTTTTTTAATCTGTTTTTCTTTTCCTTTTTAGGTGACTTTGAATATTGGACCAGACCAGGATCTTGCAATTCTACGTGAGGTCCACCAAGGAAACAGACTAACCCGTAAAATTCAAGGAGAACTAAAAAATTTAAAAGCTAAAATCTATGGCTTAGAGAATGAACTACGAGTCTGCTGAAGCTGAGGTATTAGCTGGCATCCTAGTTTTAGGAATGGGACATTGCTAGACTGGAATAGTCGTATGTGAGAGCAGCTCCTGCCTATCTGTTTCCTGGCATCCAGTGACAGAAGGCTTGAGGAAATCTGCAGTTAATGTCATAATATTGTACATAAGCCATTCCTAACATGCCAGATTATATTATTGCTGTTTCAGCTGAGAGATGACACCTCATAAGACTGTCACGGAAAGTACATGATGACTGATATAGCAGGAATATGCTTATGACTTCACCTTATGTTCATATCTGGTAGGGGTCAGTGTATACTGGCCTTCACCTTTATTTGGAGCTTGTTATAAACCACATAAGGTTATAATGAAATTAATAATCATGGAAGGATCTAGTTCAATATTTGAATTGCTTAACTGACTTTTTTCTATGTGAGAAGCAGCTTTTAAAATGGTTTGAATGATTACTGGTTTAGTGCTTAGGCACTTCAGGTTGTAACTGGAAATTTTCTTTGAAAAAGAATGCATGTGGAAACTACGTACTAAAGTTTATTACATCTCTTACATCTACATACCCTCCCCTTGACAGTATAACTGTTTTTAAATGGCTTCCCTTTGCTTCATTTTAACCTAATTGGGGAAAACCTGGCTGATTTAATATGGTGGAAAAATATAACTTTTTATAGAACTCATTTGCAAGAACGAGCAGCATCTACACTTGCTTTGAATGTTTGAGGGGAAGGCAAATGCTGCACTATTGAGTGTTGTCTTCTCATCCCTTTCCTCCGAGTTTATCCTGACACACAGTGGAAGTTCCTAATAAAAGGCATCTAGTATCTTTCTTAACCACCATATTATCTATCTTGGTAGCTTTAAAAGGGATCATGGTTACGTACCAACAAATTGTAGTCAACTTTTGCTACAGCAGTTGTTGCTACTGAACTGTAACTGAAATTGGGGTGGAAGAGCAGGTGCCTGGTTGCTACATGATGAATATAGCTCTAGCTATATGATGATTATCTTTGTACCAGACATCAGGACTTGGCAATTCTAGGAAACAGATGAAATCATGAAAAGGGTTACAACATGGCTTCAGCCCAGTTTATAGTTGCAGGTATTCATGCTTTTACTGTAGCATCAGCACATCTTGTCCACCTTGCAGAGCGACAGCAGGTCTGTGTTGGAAAAGGGATTTCAGTGCCTCTGTTTCCTACCCTGAGTACCTTTCCTACCTCACTAAACGTGACAAACAGAATAAAGTCTTTCTGAAGTATACATCTATAGGCTACCAGCACCTCCTTTCCTGTTGAAAAGGACTTAGTGTGTGAAAGCAGACAGTTTCTCTTGAATGTGGTAGCGGCCATGGAGGTCCCCATTCAATGTTTGGGAGAGGCAGATATGCAAAAGATGGTTTTGTGCTGTCAAGATTTGGAGAAAGAATTATTTTTTGTTTATAGCACTGGTTAAATCAATGCAGGAGGGGAAATTCCCTTGATGTTGGGGCTCACTTCAATTGTGTTATCTTTTTTGTGACGAGTTTGCTGTGCCTTATGGTCCTGTGCTTTTTATTTTGTATGTGTTCTTGGGGTCAAATTCATGACAAACAGACTTTAGTGTGGGTGGCTGACAGTCTGTACCTAGATGCTGAACTACTTCTAGAGTTTACGGGAGGCTGTTTTAAAGTATGGCGCACTAAGTAGTTTAGCTGAAAATGGTGAACTGGTTCAGAGAGCAATTCATGAACAACTTGGGTGTTGATGCTATGTGGACAGTTGAAGGTTATTAAATAAGACTAACCATCAGTTAGTCTCACTCTTAGTTGACTAGTACTTTCTCAGATAAGTCTAGCTAATTAAAGTGAGTATGTATGTGAAATAACATGCTGGTTTGAAGATAAGATATCAACATTATCACTGGTCTTGGAAGGCTGCTTCTGAAAATTGCCACATAATGAAGTATTAGCCACTTACTCAGCAGGATCCATCTATTTAAATTCAGCTGCTGGGTGGCTAGCAAACCATCTCTTGAACCTATAGAAATAAAGGGGTTTCTGTTTGTTTTCTACTCTTTCAAGCTAAAGAATTGTGTATGAAATCATATTTTCCTCACTTGAAAGCCATGAAGAGTGTCTGGATAACAACTGTAAGCTTTAATGTTTGGGTTTGTAAGACTGGGAGGAAATATTGGGGGAAGAAGGATGTAAATGTTTAATTTCCTGCCTTCCTTAGCAGTATTCCTTATTACTTGAAAGACTGAACAGAATAAAATGGCAACGTTCCTCATATTTCTGCTGGTGCGTCAAAATCAAAGTGCAGCTTGACCTTTATTCTTAATTTGTCACCAGGCTATGAAACCTTCCTATTTGGAGAGGGGGGTGGTGAGGAAAATCATGGTGGTGCTGATCAGTAAATCCATTTTATTTGGAAGCTTAAATTTTTGTCCAAGGGCAGGATGTACAAAGTATTGTACATGCTCTTCTGTGTGACATCATGTGATCATGTGAAATGTTGCTTTATGTTGCCAAAACAAATGAAGACCTTCAAGCCAAGAATTGCTTTAAAAAACCAAGTGCTTTCTACCATTGACAACTACCCTTTAAGATGTCAGTAAGGAATTATTGGCATTTCCAAGAGGGTTTCCTGAAAAAATTTCCAACACCCATATTAGTCAATTTTCTTTAACAAGTCTTGGGTAGAAAACAAAAAATGGCACTTACTCCAAAGAATGATTAGATATTTTTTTTTTGCTATTTTAATAATGTGTGACTTGTATTATTTCAATATAATTAAATTCCAGGTTATGTATGTAGGAGCACATAATTTGAAAGCTCTCCAAAATGGCTGATTCTTGGAATATGAAAACTATCCTACAGAGGATTAAAGGTTAGAACTGGACAAATGTTCTTAGCGTGTGCCAAGATACTAAAATGTTTCTTGCATAAATAGGAGAAAAGTGAGCAGTAGAGGAAAACTTTATTGTTGCGTAGCCATTTTAGGTAAGGAAGGAGTGCGTACGTTTCAGAAAGGACGTTGAAATATTGGGTAAGGCACAGAGCCACAGATGATTCAGCAGAAGAGAAAAGGTTGTGCAAGAGCTCATATTGTATTACATTAAGAAGACTGATTAATATACATGTATCTCGAAGATTAAAAGCTACCAAAGGCCTCTCTGTCCTAGCAGAGAAAGGCGGAACAAGAACCACTAGCCTCAACCTGAATTTAAAAATGTGTGGCTTGGTTTTCTTGTTAAGAGGAAGATTGTGCTTTTTTCCCCTTATTACAGCTAACTCCTTGTGGAGGTAACAAATTCTCCATCTCTGTCTTCAAATGAAAGGATGATTGCACCTCTGGAGAAGGTAGCTTGTTTTAATAAGTTACTGGGTTTGACACATTAGAACTTAATGAAACCTAATGACGTGAACTAACCGGAAATCGTTTAATGGTCCCTTCTGGCTTTAAACTTATGATTTATTTATATGCAATATTTGTAGGGGCTTTTCAGCACCCATGCAGTTGCCTTAATTATAAGAATATATGCTGTGTCAGCTCACCCTACTCAGCAAGGTTACACAAGGTAAAAAAGCCGAAACGAAATTAAAAAAATCCCTCATAATCTTCCTATGCCACAACTTGCAGTAATTCCCAAATTAATTGATGCTGTGACTGTGCTTAGAAAGGAGGCAGATCAACAGCAGCCCCAGATCTGACAGCTGTCAGAATAAATCTAAATAATGGTACAGTATACACTTGTATGCAATGGCTGTACTTAAATTGCTTACATAAGTAATAGTGCTAGTACAGAAACACACACATTTTACCAGTATGCGTGGACTCTGTGGGCAGCCTAATATTCTGGAATTGTAATGTCTGTATGTAGGCCAGGAATTAATTCTTTGATAATCAGATACTTTTTTGAGATTAGCTGGGAGCGACATCCCTGTGTACTTTGTTCTGGCAGATCTGTTCATAGTTGTGAAAAGGGATGTCATTCAGACTTTTAATTACAGCTCATAAACATTTAATTCTGCTGCACTTAAATGCATTTGTGCCTGCTCAGTAAAAATGCTAATAAAGGTGTCTCATTTGTCCCCATCTGAAGTTGCATCACAGCTCCAATTTGATATAAGGAACATTTTAAGATGGTTTTTTCAAATGTTGGATTCTACACCCAGGATGGAGTAATGCTGGGCATAGGTATAAACTGGGAGAGGAGCATCTGGAGAGCTGGTCTGGGGGTGCTGGTGGGCAACAGGCTCAACAGGAGCCAGCAGTGAGCCCTGCAGCCAGAAGAGCAAACCACATCCTGGGGTGCATTAAACACAGCATCCCCAGATGGTCAAGAAAGGTCATTAGCCTGTTGTGTTCAGTGTTGGTATGGCCTCACCTGCAGTTCTGTGTGTGGTCCTGGGTCCCACAAATTAAAAAGGATGTGAAGGTCCTTGAATTATGTCCAGATGAGAGCAACCAAGCTGGTGAAAGAGCTGGAGGGATTTTTCTATGAGGAGCAGCTGAGGATTTTGGATTTATCTAGTTTGGAGAAGAGGCTGAGGGGTGACCTCATTGCTCTCTACAGCTTCCTGAGGAGAAGTGGAGAGGGAGGAGCTGATCTCTTCTCCCTGGTACCCAGTGATGGTTCAAAGTTGCTACAGAGGAGGATCAGACTGGACACGAGGAAGCATTTCTTTATTGAGAGGATGTTCAAACACTGGAACAGGCTTCCTAGAGAGGTGGTGGATGCCCCCAAGCCTGTCAGTGTTTAACAGGCATCTGGACAATGCCCTTGAAAACATGCTTTAACTTGGTTAGCCCTGAAGTGGTCAGGCAGTTGGACTAGATGATCATTGTAGGTCCCTTCCAACTGAAATACTCTATTCTTTCTAATTTTTCCACAATATTTTGCTTTTATATTGCCAAATTGCTTTGAACTGTAAAAAATATCCCCTTTGCCCCCTAAATAGTTATTCTTAACTTCACAAGTCAGCTGTATGCATTTTTTAGCATGTGGACTGGGATTGTGCACCAAAACAAACTTGGATGAAGTGCAGAAGGCGCGAGAGGTGAAAGCTGCAATGAGTCCTTTTGGCTGCTCTATTCATAGGGTTTAGGCACAGAGAACAAAAGTCTGTTCCAATTCTTATGTTGCATCAAAAGTTTTAGACTTTCCGTCTGAAACAGGCCATCAGGGGTATCTGGAATTTAACTCACTAGCGGGAAACATTTCTGCTATGACTGCAGTATTTGAGAAGAATTGGGTGGAATTCTGGTATTTCCCATTTAGCACCAAACGAACTGTTTGGAGAAAAGGGCATCTTTGATTGTGAGTTAGCACGGCTGCCCTTCCAAGTCAGCTCCAAAAAATATAGCTTTATAAACAAACACTCGACGGGCTCGACTATTCACTTACACTGACTAAATTGCATGTTTTAAGAATTACGATGCTGTTGGATTGCGGACAGATTACAAATGTGCAAATATGGGTTTTGGAGTTTTTTTTATTCAGAAAACCCAGAGATGCTTTCAACACGGAAGTCTTTCAACGTTAAAGGAAGACAATGATTAACTACAGAGGCATGAAGGCTTCCATTGTTGAAATGGGGTCGATTTGAATAAAAAATCCGGGATTTACCCTGGTGAAGCATGTCCAGAATGTGCTGGATTCTCCTGTACTCATTCAGAGAGCAAATTGCCTTTCTGTTACTGTAAATATTTTTCTCAGTAGTGAGTCACTCCTAAGTGTCCAGTGAAACAGTATTTTTTCCTCTTCAGTGCTGGCTTGGGTGTCATCACAAGTAGAGCTGCTCAGCTTTGCGTTCTGTAGTGTCCTTGATAAAACAACTGTGACGCATCGTTGGAACTTCTTGAAACATAAGGATGATGAGCACAGTCACTTAAAATATGAGTACTGGTACTTTTAAGCCAAGGGAAGGAGGAAATTTAGGCAAGACTTCAGTCAGATTTGAAAAGAGGTGGATTTACAAATTGATCAAAGATGTAGATATATCTTTCATTATGGTAAATGTCTAAAAACTGAAAAGTCATAGATAAAAAATCATAGAATGAAGAAGAATCATAGAAAAATCATAGAATGGTTAGGGTTGGAAGGGACCTCAACGATCATCTAGTTCCAACCCCCCTGCCATGGGCAGGGACACCTCCCACCAGACCAGGTTGCTCAAAGTCCCATCCAGCCTGGCCTTGAACACTTCCAGGGATGGAGCATCCACAGCTTCCCTGGGCGACCTGTTCCAGTGTCTCACCACCCTCATAGTAAAAAATTTCTTCCTGATAAGTCTTTTGAATGTTCTCAGCTTAAAGTATAGAAAAACTTTTTTTTTTTTTTTTTTTTTTTTCTGGAAATGTGTGGCTCTAGATACCATGACATGGTCCTGATGCACAGAAAGCAATTTGGGCCAATTCACGGGGCAGGACCCGCAGTGAAGAGATGCTCCTGGAGGTACTGGGTGAAGTTCACAAAAAAATGTGTCCTCTGTAGGGCTGAAAATGAAGGGCAGGCTGTTTCTGTGGCATTTTATGTGGACAGCTAGGGCTTGAGACCTGTGAAGAATTGTGCAGTGACGAGACAGAAGCATGAATGAGGTTTTCCACCCAGATGGGTAACTTGTAGGAGGTGTGACCCCGATGCTGCTGTCAGGGTGAGGACTGAGGGAGCACAGCCATGTGGACAGGGAGAGCAAGAGGAAGTCTCAAACCCCTGCCCAGGCCAGCTCACACCAATGTTGGCAGTGTAGCTGTATGGCTAAAAATCATATTGCTGATTAATAGAACTGTGTTAGCAAAACCCAGCATATCAATACGCTTAACTGAGTAAGAAGGTCCTTTTTGACAAGAGTTTAATTGTGGGACCACGCTGATTCCCTTACTGTGATGTTGAACTGCAGAGTCAACAGGGTTTTTTCTGTGATAGCTCCACCTTTTAGAGCCCGGTTTGTTCCTAAGGAGCCAAATAAAGGGCAATAATGGGGAACTGTATCTTCAGAGACTGTCTTTTCCTCTTAGAAACGCTTCTGCCTTTGAGCCGTTTCGATTATGAAAGTTGAGATGAAGTCATTGTTTGTGATTCAGAGCATGGCTGAGGTCAGGAAGAGGGGTGTGGAGCCACCAGGGTGGTGAAAGCCAGGGACAGTTGGGTGTCTTTGGTGTGGAGCTGGTAATTAGTGTTAAAATGAAAATTACAGAAGAAGAAAGAAGGGAAGGAGCAAGCGGCAGCTAATTGAACCTTTGGGGAGGCTACAGAGAAAAGACGTTGGCACAAAGCTAGGAGTAATTTACAGAACAGAGAAACAGTTGTTAGATAACTAGAAGCAAAAACATAACAAGAAGAGGCAGGGATGCAGAGACGGAGCTGGAGAGAAGAGCCGGGAGGAACAGGCGATGCGCGGCGTTAAGTGCTGCACTCATATCAAAGGCTGCTTTTATCCTCAGGAAACATAGCCAAAATAGAAAACAAACAAAAGCCCAAAGCAAGCAAAAAAAAAAAATTAAAAAAAAATTAAAAATACTCCAGTTGGCTCATCTGGCAAATAGTTTGTTGGAAGCGGGTATTCGGGGTAGGCTAGGAGAGGGGTATCCTGAAGGGAGCAGCGCTCTGTCCCATGCTTGACCCCTGCCTGTAGGGTTGTCATGAGCTGTGGTTTCCACTCGCAGCGTGCCCAGTGAAGGTGAGAGGTGTGGAGGTCTGGGCACACGCTTGTGTGACTTGGGAGGCTTGAGGAACTGGGAATATGGGACTGCTGGGAGACTTGGGATAAAAACGTTTATGCGAGGTCTCTGAAAAACATTACTGTAATCAATAATCTTACTGCTGGGCATCGGTTCTTTCTGCAATGAATAAGTGGCCCAAAATAAGTTACTTTAAGTGTAGGGCTATTCAAATTCCTTATTTCACTATTTATTACACGTCCAGATTAAATTTGTTCCTTAATATTGTTCTACTGTAACTATATTGTAAGAGATAGACATCAGTGTGCCACACTTACTTCCTTATGCTTTTTCTCCAGGGACAAGAGCTTTTCTCTCTCTTCATTATCGCATAGTTCTATCGCAACAAAGATTTTTGTTTCTTTACAAGTCAACTCTTAGCCTGAAGCTTCGCTTTCCCCTCCCTTCTATTTTAGTACCGTGGTCACAAGAGAAAAATATGCATACTTATTTTAATATTTTAGTATGCAACAAAGTTACATATTAATATGCACTTTCAAGGAAGTGCAGCTGTCATTTTTTCAAACTTAAGGCGGTTCATTTAAGAAATGCAGACAACTTCCTGCTAAGAATACATCATTCAAGTCTCATTCTCTAAATAGTAAATAGTTTGATTTAGTTCCTTAATTATTACACATTTTGCTTAGTATTTTCTCTCTCTCTTCTCTTGAACGAAGATGAAAAACTTGTTTTATTTCTCTCATGCCAGAAAAAAACCCCAAACCACCATACCACCAAAAAACCTCAACAGTGAGTGTCGTACCCTTTTGATGAGACTTCCGCCTTGCCGTGATTAAACCGGCACAAAGCTTCAAGGTTTCACCCCCAGTATGAGTACTGGTGGTGGCTGGGCATTGGCAGCCCTTTAGGTTTGTGCCACACAACATGTGTGATTCCAGCTTGGCTCAGAGCCGCGTGTGTCCGCACCCTCCAGCAAGGTAGGAAGGAGTAGCACAAGCACCATGTTCTCAAAAACCACAGGATGGACCTTGTCCTCAGGGGTGGCAGAGGAGCCCAAGGGCAGAGCTGCTCACCAGCCTCCCTCACCGAAGGATGTGTTTCCATCTGTGGAAACATCTTGTCTTTCCACTCCCACAATGAGGTATAAAATTCTCTGGATGCGCTTTCCCAAAGCAAGAGAAAGCTCTCCCAAGACAGAGCCGAAGGGGGATGGCTCTGAAACCTTTGTGAGATGTTCAGAAAAGATGTCCATCTCAATGCGTGACAGGTAACAGCAGGGTCTCTAGGTGCTCCCTGGACACAGATGCTGCTTCTGCCCCCAACCAACGCAACGCTTGGGGTGCCGGCACTCTGCCTGTCCCTGCTGGGGCTCACACCGCTCTTCCGCAGCCCTCCATGCCATTTAAATGGACTTTGGCACATTTTCTAAGGCTGAATAATGGCAAGCATCCTTTTGCACAGCCTCCCACTTCAGAAGGCTGCTGTGAAAGGAAGCTGGACCCTCAAAAAAAGGTCTGTCATCGTTGCATGTATTTTGAAAATTAACTTCAGCCTGAGGGTTTCTCTTCATGGTTGCACACGCCTGTGCAGGGAAAAAGTTGGTGCCGATGACCCAACACCCACACAATACATGTTTGGAAGGGGTTTTTCTGGACGTGCATCCCAGAGAGCATCTTCCAGTTCAGTTTCACCCAGGAGGAATTCAGTTTGCATCTTCTGAGACCACCTGGTGATGGAACTGAACCAACAGCACGGGGCAGGGGGGACACAACAGGACTGCAAAAATGTGCTTAAGACATGAAATGAAACACTAAGCACGCCCAAGGAAGGTCCTGGGCTTTGTGTGGGCCTCCAACTTGGCCTCCTTCTGGTGGGTCTGAATGGCCATGCCAACATGCCATCTAGTTGGCTGCTTCAGGAAGCAGATTTGGAGACTTCGTGAACCCCATTCGTCCTGACTGAGCAAAACACTTCAAAGTAAACACGCTTATCACACCAGGTGAAGGCCACTTTAAAATGGAATCAGCTGTGGGGAACTGGCAATTTGAATCGCCCTGCTCTTGTCCTGCTTCCTTCAGCATAGTGGAGTTATCACCTCCCATTCTCTCACCAGAGGGAACCACCAGCACTCCTACTGGGACAAAAACTGGCTTTGAGGAGGATTTGGGGCTGGGGGAGGGCATCCACCTCCTCCACCCCCTCCATTCAACCCCCTGCCATGGGCAGGGACACCTCCCACGAGACCAGGTTGCTCAAAGCCCCTTCCAACCTGGCCTTGAACACCTCCAGGGATGGAGCATCCACAACTTCTCTGGGCAACCTGTTCCAGTGTCTCACCATCTTCATAGTGAAAAATTTCGTCCTGATATCTAATCTACATCTCCCCTCTTTCAGCTTAAAACCATTACCCCTTGTCTTATTGCTCCACACTCTGATAAAGAGTCCCTCCCCATCTCTCCTGAAGCCCCCTTTAGGTACTGGAAGGGGCTGTAAGGTCTCCCCGGAGCCTTCTCTCCAGGCTGAACAACCCCAACTCTCCCAGCCTGTCTTCATAGGAGAGGTGCTCCAGCCCTCTGAGCATCTTCGTGGTCCTCCTCTGGACCCGCTCCAACAGGTCCATGTCCTTCTCGTGCCGAGGGAGGACTCCAAAACCGGACGCTCCCGTCGCTTTGGCAGGAGCGGGACCCCCGTAGCTCCAGGCTCCGGTCCCGGCGCTCGCCAGCCCCTAGAGCGGCCGAGACGGACGGGGGGGGAACGGGGACAGGGGTAGCCCCGCCGCCGCGGAGCCCCCGTCTCGGCCCCCGGTGGGGCGGAGGCAGGTGCGGGGGGCGGCGGCAGAGCCCGCCCGGGAGCTGCCCCCGCGGGGGCGCGGCGCCGCCCC